TTCAGCCACCAATTACCACTGAGTATGAGTCCGTATCACTTTTAATTTTTTCAAACACTGTTCAGACACATATTTTATTGGCTCATTTATTTTTCTTAAAACCAGAAATATCCATTTACTAAAATATATTGTTTATAGCTAAGTTAATCCATGACTGGATTAAATGTCTGCCGTCACTAGACGTGCGATAACCTGTCCCTTTCTTCGAGGGTTTTCTCTGACCAGCTCAGAAAAACACAGGGAAACTGAGATTATGTATTTTCCAGCTGACATTAGTTCATTTAAATCATTTTGCTGATGCTGTGTGTAGGAAAACGGAGCCAACCACAGAAATCTCGGAGACATCTGCAGTAATCTATGTACACTAATGTTCAAAAAGCCCTGAGAGGTTTTAGCTTTTTTTTTTTTTTTTACCACATTGCAAACACCATTTTATGTTGTGGATCAACACAAAAAAATTACACCTTTAAATTATTGTAAAAAATATTTTAGAACTTTGTGTAACTGCGTACATTTTAGAGACACATTTTGCACCTTGAACTCTGCACCAGCTTTGTACATCTGTAAAATAGACCCTGTTTTACAGATGTAAAACAGGAAAAATGTTTTACATCTGTCATTCTTTGTGAAAACTATGTGAGAAGACCGGTTTTTCAGTTCTGTGGAATATTTGCAGTTGTATTCAAGTTCAGACGCGTCACTTTAACACCTTGATGTACGTGCCTATGCTGGATCTAAACCAGTCTGTGGAACCTTTTAATGCGTTTCCCTAGAAATAGATTTTCTAGAGAACTGTCTCGTATTTGGCCTCACCCATCTTCCCATCATCCTCAGTTACCATACGGCTAATCTTGGCCCCTTCTCTGATTAGTGCTTGTGTCATCAGATTAGGTGTGTGGCCAACTTTTGGTTTGTTTGCGGTTGTGCAACACTCTTTTAGTCCACAGCACATTTTCAAAAACAGCTTATTTGTTACAAAAAACATAGCAAAACATGTCTAATTGTTGTTACTCTTACTCATGCATTTCTGTGTACCTGAAGTCTATTCAGGCAAACCACAACCGTTTTCATTTATATTCCAAAAGGCTCCTTTTGTTGCTCATTGTTTCCTGCCAAGTCATTTAGTTCGCATTTGATGTCTGGCAACGTTGCTTTTCCATGCTTCCCGTTTTGTTGTTCCTTTTGTGAAGAGCTCACCAGAGGAGCTCTCTCCTCCACCTCCGCCTCTCCATCTGTGCCGCACACCCGTGTTTCACCACAGCAACAGAGACGCACATCTTGGTCACCATCAGGTGAGGTTGAGCAACCATCGGGCACCCTTGCCTGCGCGTCACGCCTCGGGGAGCACTCGCCAGCGGGGTGCCATGCAGCAGTAATGCATACAGATGACATTTGCTTGTTCACAGCACGACTGCAAAGTACCTGTTTGTCTTTTTCCGGTTATGTTTCTCTTCAAAAGAATGCTGTTACTTTCCTTTTGTAGATGCCGCTTTTTTTCACTTTAGCCCCATTTGCTCTAAGAAGGTTCGACCAAATATGCTGCAGATTATGGTCTGGTCTGTGCTGAAGGCTTGTTGCCTTAAGGGAAAAGATTGAGTTTTCTACAAGATTTTTCAAAGCAATATGTTGTGCTAATTTGTTCATTTAGAAAAGGGTCTTTGGATAGCATGAGCATTTTAGCCCACGATAGGTGGAAACCAGGTGAAACGAGATTATGGTTTCACTCTCACACCTGTGAGAGTGTTTAAGATGCACTTTAAACACGGTTTTATTGTGTGGTATACATAGAACAATCGAAATGAATCATTTAAGGTATCAGGAAGAGACTTGTTGACCTGTTCAAGCATCATTACTCATATTTACCATTATTATATTTGGAGAAAAAAAGTGAAGCCAGCAAACTAGAATACAATGTAAACTGTGCATTATAGGGGGTTGACAGCATCATGTTGTGTTGATGTTTTTCTGCAAGGGGGACTCTAGCGAATAATTTTGCAGGATTCCTCAAACGTTAATGAAAGAATCAAAACAACACTTTGACTTTTGTTGAGGGAATAAGATGCTACAAACCTCGAAAAGTTGACTTGACATTTAAAATAAGTCATATAGTTTAGAAGGCAATGCTATCGAATAGTAAGGAAATGTATGCAAGCTTCTGCATTTCGGAAAATGTATCTTAAAAAATCTGTTTGGTTATTCTGAAACAGTGCCAATAAAAACAACTTTGTCAGACAGCAGGTTAAAAAAAGGTTGTCTCTATATACACTACTATGCGACTATCTGCTTTCATCTGTTCGTGCCTGATATATCTATTCAGCCACAGTCGCATGCATTCGTGCAGATGCATGTTTTTCCATCTTGTATTTTTTCTTCTCCCATACTGTCAGCGCTCCCTCTAGCCCACTTGCCCCCTGCTGCTTTCCTCTCTTTGAGTTTAGGGTCAGCATGATGAGCTTTAGTCTTCTGCATGACCCTGGGAGAGAAACTCAAAAGAGGCCAGGCTACAGGGCCACCTGAGATCACTTCTGCTGCACTCCACAGGACTCGCAGCTACGAAGACAGGAAGCTGTAATTAGGACTGGAGGAGGCTTAACTCTCATGCTTAGCTCTGCTCATCTCTACCCCAATCTCTCTCACGTTCTGTTGTCGACAAAAACGCTCAAGCATTAAGAGACCAAAAGTCATAATTGTATGTGGTTGAGAGGATTGTAGACCACAGATCTGAGGCAATTTAATGCTTCATTTATTCACCTTTTGTTGTTGTGTGTTTCACAGAATCCATCCAACACATTGGATGAGAATTGTTAAAGATGTTAAAAGTAAGCCAGTCAGTTAATGATATTGTTAGTAATTACTGTGGGATTCACTGCAACAAGGAATAAAAGAAACTATCATGCTCTGAATCACAGGACCAGTTTGTGCTCCAATATTAACTGTAACACGTCAAAAGAGGAAACAGAAAATAAATGGTGAGACTCATGTGCATAATCATTCTCTGTGAAATTTCTTAAACTTAAGGACACTCAGCAGGAACTTGGCCCATTTTAGTTCGTTTGTCATGAACATTTGACTCAGAATGAGATAAATCTGTGATAGAAAATGAATTGAGATCATGGTTGATATAAAAGCAAATGTGCAATTCGATTGTTAAGGATTTGATATTCTGGCAGACTTAATTGACTTATTTCGGTTCATTTTTACAAACTTTAACGTATTTTAAGATGATGAAATCATCGTTTGAAAAACTCATTCCATATTTCCCCTTTGCATAGAAATATTTGTTTCTTTGGCAACATTTAAGGTTGTGTTTTTCTTAACTCCAGTTTTACTGATCTTTAATATGGGAATTTTTGGGGGACTGATGTATAAATTGGTCATTATGAAAAAAATATCACATCTATAGAGTTTGGATAGCTGAACTGTCTTTTGGTACTGAGGATATCCAGATGCAGTCCTTTGGGTATATCTTGTGTTTGGGAACTTGTGTTTGGATCTCAGTGGCGAGACTTTGGAGCTAGTAGGCTGAGGATGTCGGCTCCATATATTGAGTTTGTTGGGGCTTATTTAAACGGTAACTGAAATCTTGGGAGGTTAAGAAGTTGGGCAAATTGCTTTTGTAGAGGGGTGAAAACCAACCAAAAATAAATACAATAAGTAAGAACATAGACACCTCAAACATATTTTTTTATTTTGTATCTTTTAATTTCTTGTTGTAACAAGTTATTTAGCGTCATTTCAGTTAGTCCATGCAATTCTCCACGTGACCACTAGGGGCGCATTGCATTGGCGGCATAGAAAAGATTGAGCTCGCAAAAAGAATGAATCTTCCGTTGGATGTTGATGAGAACTCAACGTGTGTGTCTCATATTTTCTGTGTCACAGGTTAGTTAAAATGTATCTTGATACTTGAATATAGATTACTTTTGAGAATTGAATATATTATTTAATGGGAAGTCGACTAAGTGAGTCATGTTGTGCTGTTTGTGAGGAGTACTGTGTGGAGAAACGTTTAAAAGACTGTTACACTATTTTTATTTATTTTTCTGTAAAATTGTGTTTTCTTGTTAAGAACCAAAGTCATCGTAACTAAGGGCCGTTAATGTGTCATTTAGTAACGAGACGCGCCATTAAAGGAGCATTCTGCCTTCTTCAGTTAGGATTTTCTTTTTATGATGGATAAAATATTGCTATTTTGTAACGGGTTCAATAGGCTTCATCTTTCTAGGCTCCAGTAGTTATAAGATGTTTAAATAGTAAATTATATCTTATCTGTGTAGAAGGAAAGCTGTTGGAGTGGTTGAAAACAAACTCATGTGCTTTTGTTTTGATTTATTTTTTTTAAATGACAAAAGATATAAAGTACTGAATATGGAGTATGTTTGCACAAGAAAAAGAATAAATCTTCCGTTGGATGTTAATGAGAACTCAACGTGTGTATCTTATCTTTTCTGTGTCACAGCATCACATGTTGGAGGCAGATCTTTTCTAATACATTACTCTGCCACCCAAGGTTGCAGGGTAACACTTTGACCTTTTATCTTTTTCCTGTGGTACAAAAGAGCAGATCAGCCACTCTCAACACATGACGTTGATGACTGGTTTCAGTCTGTCCAGAGATCATTTTAAAGAAATCTTGTTAAAGTGGTTGATGCACCTGAGATGTTATCAATGAGGTATTTTTCTAGCTCCTGTTCACATTCACAGCAGTAGCTATGCATGTTGTACAAAACAAAGACAACTGTGAACAAGCAGGGATGAGCTGAAACTTGACACACCTCACACCTGGTTGAGGCCATTTTCAGACGCCGCTGAATCATTTCCAAGGTTTGGATCACTTTGATCCATGCTTAATCCAACATACTTTGATCCATGCTTAAGATTGTTGCAAGTCGTGACGTAGCAGTTGTGTGGATAGGGGTCAGATGTTGTCCAACTGCACAAACTATAAGGCCTACAGATGGTTTCTTCACACTCCTAACTGTTTCCATTCCTCTCCTCAGGGTCCTGTTTGCACATAACAGACTCATGGGCAGGAGGAAATAAAGGCATCAGTTCAGGTGAGTGCTTCACCAGCCTGCAGTAACTCTCCACATGTTTCCCTTTTGCCTGAAGCAGTAACTTTAAGGTTTGTTTTACAGCCCTTCCCCAGTTGACCTGTGGGTTGAGTCCTGGCTAAGGGGATTTGTTGTTGGCGGGCCAGCTCCATGGGTGTCTATGTGAGTGAACAGTAATGAAGTCCAGCATGAAGCAGTGGCGGAGGCTGTTGTTGGTGGCCATGCTGGTCTGGGTCCTGGTCTTTCTTGCTCTGCTGTCCTACTTCCTGGATGCCCGTGCGGATGAGTCTCTGACCTCTATTGGCTCGTTACTGTCCCAGCATCCTGACACCAGGCGGCTGGCCTCCATACAAGCCTCCAATCAGCAGAATGCCATCTTTGGTTTAAGACCTGAACTGGCTTTGCAATTAACTACAACATATCTCAGAGACGAACCAGGACCAGAACCTTCCACCAGCTCCATAACCTCAGAGACTAGCATGGAGGCAAGCCAGAGCCCTTATGTGACTTACGGTAGCCAGGAGGCGGGTCACCAAGAGTACCTGGACCCGCAGAGCCTGGCTGCCTGGTCCTCTTTTGGTACAGAGAATGTGGGCTCTCATTCAGACCCTGCAGTCCAGAGTCGTGAGCGAATGTACCAGAACCAGATCAGTGCCACTCAATACCACGCCGGTGAGGATGAAGAGGACGGCAGAGAAGATCAAGATCTTGAGCACAAAATTAGGACTGCAGAAGACGGGAGACCTGGTGGAGAGTCTTCTGACTTGGAAGATTACTATTTCTCCCGATCTGCCTCTGTGGTGCAGAGGCTGTGGAAAGGCCACGCGTCCGCCGACATGCTGAGTCCCCGACTGCAGCGCGCCATGAAGGACTACATGAGCGCAAACAAACATCACGTTTTCTACAACGGACATCGGAAAGGTTCCCAGAGCGCCAAAGAGTTGTTGTGTCAAATGAAAGCCCAGGCTCAGCTGAAAACGGTGGATGGGTTGGAGGAGCCCTTCTCCTCTCTGGGCTGGGCAGACTTTGTGCCATCCCTTCCACTGGAGAAGCTGAACAAACAACAGGGCAGGAGTGGCTTCAAAAGCTGTGCAGTGGTCACCTCTGCTGGTGCCATCCTGCGCTCCAGACTGGGCAAGGAAATAGGTGAGTGTTGAAAACAAACATTGATAAGCGCTATAATAGTTATGAAGCATAAGCTGGTTTATCTGTTTCAGTCTGTTAGTTTGAGACTCCTCTTCCTGTGGTAGATTAAGCACATAGATATGTTTTAACAAAGGGCAGCAAATTGTAGTTCTCACACGTGAAAACTATCAATGCTGTTAGTAGATGCAGTGTCAAAGATGCAAAAGAAAAACATTTTATTGAACTGTTCTTACAATTTAATATTATTTTAATAAGCTGCCAGAAAAATGTGTTAATGTGACAGGATGTTTGATGCATAAAGTTACTGTGTGCTGCCACTCCCACACATGTTGCTACATTCTGTCAGCCGCTCCTCGGCTCTTCCAATGTTTACGATCTGTTTGGAAAGCTGCTGCTTTGCTATTGAAACTTGAGGCATTTCATTAAAATTTAACTTTTTTATGAGTTCAGTCAGAAAACTTCATGTCACCTGTCTATAGTCAAGAAGACTCATTTTGCGAGCATGAGAAAGAAACATAAAACGATGCAGACAAAGTTCTGGAGAAATGTCTGTACTTTCTCAAATATTAAAACATATTTTTGGAGGAAATTGCATTGTTCTTCACAACAGGATGAAAGAAGTATTTTCCAGCATGCCCTGAATGCAAAGCTGTGTTGGTAGTGAAATTACAACAGGAGATTTTAGAAGATTTTGTGTGATACACTTGGAAACTTTATTGCATTCTACAAATACACATATTTCCATGAATAAGACACAAATAATTCTGAGTAATATGTAGTTACTTGCAGTTTTTTTTTATTTCCTGTGCATGTCTAGAGATTAGCAGGTCAGATTAAAAAAACAAAACACTCAAGTTCTAATGTAAATCTGCTGCAAGGAGGTAATGAAATTTGCAAGGAAAATCTGCAATCGGCACATAACTGCTGGAGAAATGTACTACCAAATTAAAACGGGCCATATTGTAACTTATACCCACAGATACTTTCTGAGATGTGATAGAATAGCCATTTCTTGCAAATAAAAATCAGGGGCAGAAAAGTTTACACTATGTTCAACTGTAAAACTAGAACTCAATCAGAGAGAAACCCACTGAGATCCCACGGAAGATCTCTGGAGACTGGAGGAGATCCACAGCTCAAATAGGAGGACCTGTCAACAGCACAACAGCCTCCAGTAATCTGGCCCTTATGTGAGGAAAGGGAGTCTTATAAAAATCCCCTTTGACTTTTGCCTCTACCATGTGGAGGACATGGTAAACATGTGGAAGAAGAAGAAACTCTAGTCAGATGAGACCAAAACTGAGCTTCAAGGTCCAGGTGTGAGTACAAAAAGTAATCTTCACACTACACTGAACACATCAGTGCAGTTTTGTTGGGTTGATTTTCTTTAGCACTGACAAGGAAGCAAAGGGGAATTGATTTGTAGATGGATGGAGCTAAATATATGTCAAACCTGGAAGAACAACCTGTTAAAGGCTGCAAATATCTTGGCCGTCCATCAGGACAACAGCTATATGCAGTCAGAGTTACAATGCATTCATATTAAGAAATGTGACTGGATTCAGAACTGAGCTGAAAGAGGATTGAGGAAACATCTCTGTTTCTAAAGGAATAAAACCGGTAAACATTGCTCACATTGTAACTTTTATTGCATGTTTGAAATACAGTGTAGCCCTTTTGTTCACAATGTTGTGGAGTTTTGTCTTGGTTCTTTATGCACACTCCTGAGAAAAACCACACAGGCTTGTTAAAAAAAAAAAAGAGTCACTTTTATCTGTCTTCCGATGAACGGTGTTCAGGTTTCCTGGGGGTTTCACAGATGAGCTTGTCAATCTGATTGTGAGGAAAGTTGAGATTTTGCTTCGTACGTTTTATCTCCCGCCACCAGAATGTGTGTGTTCTTGGGTTTTAAGCGACTATTGGCAGCTTTTCTGTAAGTGGTAAGAGTGTGAACTCGGCGACAGATGGCTCACCAGAAAAAGCAAAAAAAAAAAAAAAAACCCTCTGGTGGCTAATCAGCCTTCTTCACATCACGTATAGCTTCCTTGCATTTTTGAAACAGCTATGCAGAATAAGCAGTAGGATTAATCAGCTCGGCTTGAGCTTCATGCTTATCAACTTCATTTTTGTTTCCTGAGACTATGAAGTGCTTGCTGCCTGAAACGACATCGTCCTGGACAGAGAGGAACTGACTAAGCAGGTTTCTTGGAAAATCAGATGCAGGTGATGTAAACCTGCATTATGCACTTGATCTTGCGGTCACGGTGGAATTGACTTGTTGTGCTGTGTCAGTGAAAACGTTAGTCGTTCTGCTTTAGTCTTTCCACAGCTCTCCTTAATGTGAAATAGCCTGAAGTGCTAAAAGATTCCTGCACATTTATAGAAATGCTGACTAAATTCTTATTCCTCTATACCCTTTTGCTTGCGATTGCCGTACATGTTTTGTGAGTTTTTCTCCTGTCTCCTCAAAGGACATATCTGATTTGACAAATAAGAACAGGCAGCTTGATTGTATATCCAATTTTGTCTCTATTTCACATTCCTCATGCACATGAAATCCTCTTCTACCTTTAGCCTCTGTGTTTGTTCTTGTTTTCCCTCTTGTAATTTGATACACACCGAGATGGTCTTGAGCAAACAAGGTTCACCTGTTTCTGTCGTCGTATGCAAGTCAACAGATTTACATTCTTGTACAGTTGAAACCAAACATTTACTTTTTTCTCTGAAACCATTTTTCCTCGTTATTCGTCATGAAATCAGACTAAATCTTCAACTTGGATGACTGAAATTCTTTCTACTTGCGAAGTGCCACGACATTTTGATTTGGATCAGCTGTTCATAATGATTTACTTTTGGTTATCATCTCATGAGTCAGAGCTAGCGTAACTGAGTCCGGTTTTAGGCCACCGCTCGCAGACGTGTCCATGGACTTTCTAAGAGTTTTTCTGGGTTTTTGTGATGGCCACTCCAAAGCATTAATTTTGTTGACGTTAAGCCACTTTGCAGCTAACTAACCCAACATGACTCTGCCGCCACCGCTGCGCTTCACAGATGGGATGGTGTTGTTGGGTTTGCAAGCGTCTCGCCTTTATCCTCCAAATGGCTGAAAAGGCTGAACAAACTATTTTTGTGTCATCAGACCACAGGAAGTTAAAAATAAATCATCTTTGAACATGCAAACTTTAATCTGTCTTTTTACTTGCTTCTGAAATAATGGCTTCTTCCTTTGAGAGTGGCCTTCGCGCCCATGTCAGTAAAGGATCCGTTTCACTTCAGATAAGACCCTCTTATCTGCCTCTGCCAGTTTCTTATCAAGGGCTTTTGCTCTGCAGTTGATAGGCACATTTCACTGTTTCTATTTTTCACAGGTGTGTCAATTGAACCACAGATGTGTTGAATTAACTTATTACAAACTTAAAAAGCTACGATATTCCAATTCAGGCACTCGCATGTGGTTTACACACATTGCAGTCTAAGCTATTGTGAACTGCCAGTAAAATGAGAGATATAACTAAAAAATAGGATAGGTTTAGTATGGCTTACTCACTAACAGTAAGAAAAGATAAGTTGTATTGTTAGGCAGTGTGTGTAAGTATGTGGTTTCAACAGTATATTTGTACAAATACATTTGAAAATGGCTTAAAAAAATTATTATTCATGGTCATCGGCACTGACGTTTGTTCCATTTATACAAACACAATACAGCAGCAGGGGTGTTTACTCAGTGTGTCGTCATCCCTTTTCTCAATGCATAAAGAAGGGGTACGATACTTGATGCAACTCGACGGACAAGACAAGCGTCATGTGGCCACAGTATCCACCAAGCAACCATGTGGCGCTGGAAGAGCTAGCTTTTACATGACAGCAGTTCTTTAGTTCGGCCTCCACAGGAAATCAAACTGCATTGATCTTTCTCTACTTGCCGTCGCCCTGTTGTGCTTTTCGAAAGACGGTTTCAATGCGCATTATGCAGCTCATCACTAATAATCAATATGCTTGAAAATAAATGAAAATCTGACATCTTTGTCGTGGCACATGCAGGTTTACTGGCATTTTGACTTTGGTGTTTCCACTGGCTGAAACCTTTATGTGAGTGGTTTGCTGCTCTGGAGTTGAGTCAAACGTGTGGAAGTGATACGGTGGGTGACTGCCATCATCTGGTGGATGGAGGGAACAACACCCAATCCGAGGGCGAAGGCACTCAATGTTAGAACAACAAATCATTCAAAGATGCAGAAACAGATACTCCCATGTCAGGCTGGTGAACAAATGATTAATGAGACTGTGGGGGGGAATAAATGTAATCTATTCTTTTCAATGTTATGTTTTCAAAACAAAGGGCGCGTCAACAAGCCGGTAAAGAAAAAAAGTATATTTTGTTGCATTGTCTTTTTATTGCATGGCACAAGTGATATAACATTCAGTTTGTTATTGTGATAAATTGTCTGTGGCTTTTTATGCTGCTGGTTGTGTTTTCTCTCATCCAATTTAAAACTGCGTTTTATCAAAACGGGTCGCTCTTGTAAATGAGATCTGGGATCTAATTGAGACAATCTGTATCAATAAAAGTCAAATAAATAAAGAATAAATTAATTAATAAAACTGAAAATTAAAATATTGTAATATTTTTGAAAAAGTAACAACTTTGGAAAGATTTTATTTCTGTTTAATTTGATCTGATCTGACAAAAACATACAAAGAAGTGTTAGGTCGAAATTTAGGACATTAGATTAAAATAAATAAAAAATGTGTCTGCCTTATGAAAAGTAATCACCAATAAGTTCAATAACAGTGAACGTCATTCTGGACCTCAAGCAGATTCTGTGCCTCTCTACACTTCTTACAGACTCTACAACCTTAATTTCCAAATTAAATATGAGATTTATTTTTATTTAACATAAGAACTTTGAAAGCCTGAGGAAAAGGTCAGTCTTTTTTCTTTTTACCCCAGACAAGTCACTTCTCACACTCTGAGCTTAGGATGAGAGCAGCTCAACAAATTTTGCCCATCTTGTCATTGCGTCTGTATTCTGTCCATTGTTGCATCTGTGTCTGGGAATCTTCCCAAAATGTTCATAATCTTAGTTTCACTGTCATCTTGTCCGTGTTGGTTGTGGAATTTTTTCCAATCACACTTTTTCCTTCCACTCAACTTTCCGCCAACTTGCTCAAACAGGCTCCTCTATGAGCATCCAGCTTCTTTAAGAATAACACTTTTTGAATCTCATTCTGCAGATAGTTTCAGACTGTTTGGTCAGAAGTCTGTCTGATAATAACGTGGGCTGTAATACATTATTTCTGGATTAAAAATCCCTAAAACCTTTTATTGTTTAGATTCAAAATTCTTAACATTGTGTTTTTGTCAGCATGAAGCAAAAAAAAAAAAAAACCCGTCTAAAATAATATTGTTAATGCTTTATTTCATTACGATACTCCTGTATACAGTTTAGCTCCCTCTGCTGTGACTTGGAGAATATCTGCTGAAAATGAATGAGGAAATGACAAAATGCCCTCTAATGGTGGAATCAGATAGGGTGAACCCGCCTCTCGCCCGGAACGCAGCTGGAGATGGGCACCAGCAAGTCCTGACCCCAATAAGGGTTTACAGATAATGGATGGATGAATATTGTTACGTCTGTCACATAACAGTAGGACCATTTTGTGCTTTTCTTCTGTGGATGTTTGATATTTGAACTTATGTCCCTGCTTGTTAATGTCATGACTCAGAATTTCCTTAGTTTTCAGTATCTTAAGTTTAGGTTAATGTGATTTATTTGCCATATATATTATGCTGGAAGGTTAAATTGTCCTGTAACCTGGCTTTCAAGGTTGTGACATTCTGGAAGATAAATTTATTAAGACATGTTCTTCTTTTTTCAGTGTAATGTTTTCATCATGACTCTTAAATAATGGCGCCATTATTTTGTGTTTTTGTTGTGTGGATGTGTGATGAAGGTCATGACTGATTTCTCTTAGTTCTTTGTTTAATTATCTGCAGAAACCACTAGCGTTCAGAAACACATCGACTGTGTGTCTTTAAATTAGAGCAGCTTCATTTTTGAGAAACTGGTTTTTTAATGATATTGCAAAACAAAACGCCAATGCTAAGATTTTTTTTGGGAAAAACTTTCACCTTGATGAACATGAAAAGAAAAACGACAATCTGTCTGGGGAGACGGTCATTTAAAGTCTACCATTTTAGTAGAGCTCTGAATGAGAGACGTGTTTTGAGTATTTCTCTAGCGTAGCCGGCTAAGCTCAACTGTTTGCTGAAGGGCTGTATGTATGATGAAGAAGAGTCGGCTCATAAGCTGAAGGATCATTATTCCATGTGTCAGTTCGACGCGAGAGGGGGATTTCTGAAGCTCAATCGATCAGCAAATAGTCTGAAATGTATGTAAATGCTGCACCATCTGTTAAGCTCCAGATTTCACAAAGGCAAATAAACATCAGAGGACGTCAAAGGAATCGTTTCACGGCCGTGCGGTGTGAAAATGTTTTCAGTAGAGAACTCATTACTCTTCACCCATCAGTAACCTGAGCCAACCACCAGGGAGCGCTTTAGTACTGCTTGTTGTCAGCGATGATGGACACAATTGAGTTGGAGGAACTTTAAATTTGCATAGGTTGGATTATTTAACCCCCCCCAAAAAAACTTTGATTATTTTAAAATTGTGAGGGTAATTCTCCCTCACTTTGCTGACATGATGAGCTTCATCTCTTCTGAATAGTGGCCCCAAAAACATCGCATCACAACCTTCTGATCAAAGTTTTAATTAAGATTTTCCTACATAAAATCATAGCTCTTAAAGAACATAACACTATAAATTAGGCCAAATACTATTTCTAACCATGTTTTAATGAGTTTGCATTAATTTGCCAATTTTTATCAGACATAATTTAAGAAATATTTTAAAATAGTCTTTCAAGTAGTTTTACGTTGTAGCTCAAAGTTTAATTTATTTTAATTTAAAAATAAAAAAAATACTTGGGTAACATTCACTCTCGCCTCCATATCCAGCCAGATTCATTACTAAGAAAATTCTATATTATGATTTTTGAGGAAATTTTTTATCACAGTTGGTTTATCTTTAGCGTCTGTGTCACAATTAATATTGGTAATGGCAGTATTTATAACAAGTGTATCATGTAATTTAGATTTTGACTTGTAATTATTACTTAATCACACTGTCACATTCCCATTCAGATGGTGACATATCAATCAAAAACCTTCTGTTTTAATTGATATGTCAATTAAAACAGGGTTTAATTGACATATCAATTAAAACAGAAGGTTTTAATTGATGTGTCAGGGAAAAATCGAAGCCTGAACACAATGCATCAAGCATTAGATGTTTTTTTTTTTTTTTTTTTTTTTTTTTTTACCAACATTTTAAATAGCTTAGTCTACTCTGATGCTTTTATTGTGAAGGTTTTGTCTTTTTCATTCTATTAATAATGGCACAAATATGGTACTGCATTGGCCACTCAGCTGAGTGTGATCACACCCTCGGATACAACGCTAGCAATCCAAACAAATGTGACAAACCAGAGGATCCGAAAGAGCATCAACATCCATCCAAATGTTCCCGAACTGCTGCCAGCTAGTAGACAGTGACAGCTGGATGAGAGCTGCTTTTTTTAAGTTTTTCATTTTAAAGTAGTGAGGAGGAAACGCCTTCTAAATGCTGTTCTTTTACAGTTGTAAAGTTCAAAGTTTAATGATGCAACACTTTTTGCTCTTTGATGTTTTTAACATCCTGACCTTACTGCCACACATCTGGGACAAAAATCTGATTTTTATTTTCATTTGTTGCAAACTCAGTTGCTAAATATAGTTCTAATTGTGAATGCACAAAAAGTAATACTGTTGTAATTGTTTCATGGTAATCATTAAGCCAGTAACGTATTTAATTCCTGCCGCATAAGTTGAGGTATTAAGAGGAATATCAATGAACGCACCTGAGCAAGAACAAGAATCTGCAATTCATAGAAAGTGCTTTGTAGAATATTTCATGATCGCTCATTAACATCTTCCAATCCCTCACAGTTTGAGATCGTTTCTTTGCCCACTCCTACCTCTTTGTGTACTTTGATATCAGCTCAATCCTTTATCCTTCTGTTGACTTTGGCCCTTGTTTGTCATTTAGACGCTCATGATGCAGTTTTGCGGTTCAACGCGGCCCCAACGGAGGGATATGAGCATGATGTGGGAAACAAAACTACCATCCGCATCATCAACTCACAGGTACGTCGAAATCTGGCATCAAATTGGTTTAAATAATTTTGTATTTCAGACTTGTGCAGTTCTCTGATTCACCTGAAAAGTTCCTGTATTGTACTTCTCAAACGGGGCTTTGTCGTTAAAACTGATTGAAAGTCTCTCAGTCGATACAAAATACAATGACTCATTCAGGATACGAGGAGTTTTATTATTGTAAATCGAAGGTGGAAGTTTAATATTCCAGTCTTTGTAAAATGAATGAACCGCTCTTTCAATTTGGGACTTTAAATTAATGCCAGTTTGTCATTTTTACTAAACAAAACTGAAAAGCTTTGTGGGATGGGTATTGAGAAGTTTCGATTTAAGAGCACACAGTCGAGTGTCGACACTCGGGAAAGATGTTAGTATTTACTTTTTTTTTTTTTTTTTTACAAAAATAACCCTATTATAAACCTTTTTAAAACAATTTGACGTCCATTATTTTACAAAAAGAAAGGTTGCTCTTTGGTGAAAAACAGCTGCTTATCACCACACAAGTGGACTTCTCAGTCAATTCATCCCAAGTTCAGACCATGCATGTCTGAGTAGGTTGCCAGGGGAAAACATCATCTTTCTAAAATAAATATGGCAGCACGTGAATTCACCAGAATACTTCTGGGTGAACTTGTTTGAGGTCGGGGTGAGGATGTCTGGAGACGAAACCAATGTTCGGGGAAAAAAAGCTAATTAACAGCATATTTGCACAAATGCTTTGTACCAGGTCTTCCAGTGAAACGGTTGTTAAATTTGAAATCTTCTGTTTGACAACAGACTCTTTAACGATTTGTTTCAGTATGAAAAATTAATAATCATACAATTAATGACTGTTTTCAGTTTTGTTAATGTTGACTCAGGTTACAGCTATTTGGATTTACACAGCATACCTTTAATGTTTTATAATGATATAAATTGGAGTTGTGCAGAGCAATCACATTTTTGCTTGACTGGTTTGGAAAAGACCAGATATTAATTATTTTTTTTGTTTCAGTTTAACAAAAGCAAATAGAGAATATATACATCTCTGGAAAAAAATTACTTAAAACAATCAGTTTCTCTAATTTTACTTTTTGTAGATGTATTGTTCTGTTATTTCATGACATGTCTCTGAAATTGCAAACAAAAATTTTGCATTTATTTGCAGAAGATGCAGTGCTTCCAGACTTCAAACAATGTAAAGAAAACAAGTTAATATTCATTTAAAAACAACAATACTAATGTTTTAACTCTAGAGGAGTTCAAAAACTGATATTTGGTGGAAAAACAATGACGCTTTAGTGCAGCTGGCTCTTAATTTTTTCCAGAACTGTATCTTGATGCATTAATTTGTCATATTTTCTCTTCACAGATTTTGGCGATTCCCAAGCATGAGTTCAACATGAGCTCCATCTATAAGAACATAACGCTGGTGGCCTGGGATCCTGCACCTTACAATGTTAACTTGCAGAAGGTATGTACCCTGCAGAGGGCCGGCTGGTTATGCATCAGCGGTTTTAAAGGATTATAAATTCATAAACATCGATGCTGTGATGCGTGAATTGCAGACTATAGGAAATCCAGTATGCATCTGTCACACTTCATAGAAATGTTCTCCTTCCCCGTCGCATTGCCAACGTCACTTCAGACATGATATCTGAGCTTATAATTCCCAGAGAGGATCACACATTTCTTCAGTTCTTACTCTCATGCGTCTAGTTTACTTTACTTTATATGTTGGGTTCATATTCTTTAACACTTAAATATGGATAATCCTGTCATTTCTTTATCTTCTGCTGCATGAGAGAACTAGCAGCTCTGTCTCCTCTTTTATGTGCTGCAGTCCTTGGGAAGAAATATTGTAATTGGTCAAAATGAGAATAACAGCAGCTCAACCTGCAAATACATCCAGAAACTGGTTTCAGCCAGAAAAGCATGATTTATGCATCTCTAGTTCCAGCAATCTGTGAGATCCATTCTACTTTTGTATTTGCAATAAAAATTGATTTGCATTTATGCTGTTGGTGGTCTGCGGTCTGAATAGTTTAAATTATTCCTCAGTATGACGTTACAAAAAAAATGCACTAGATCATTGATTAGCTTTCTCTGGGTTGAAACAGAAGAAAATTATTTTACTTTGTGCTTTAGCGGCTTCACACAACAACCACATCAAGAAATGGCAAAGGTTGTTCAGAAAAACTGGGAACAAAACCAGATTAAAAAAAAAAAAAAAAAAAAGGTTAATTGGTTTACTCATTCAAATAATGTTCAGTGTTCTTCTGTGGTTTCACCATGAGAAATTCTCAGGCACAAGAAGAAAGGGAGAAGGATTATTGTCAAGATTTTTGTAAATGGCACGATGCTTGGAAAGCTCTCGTCTCAACAGCCTGGCCTCTTGTGCTGCTGTCAAGAGATGACAATATTGTCTGAATTTACCAAATCAAGAACGCTACTAAAATGTAGTTTCCAGCACTTTGAAAAGTCATCCACTGGTTCGATTTGTGGCCCGGGACTTTTCCTGAAAATATTTTCTTTCTCTTCCTTTTTCTGTGTCTATTAATATTTTTATTACAGGAAAAAGTGGAAGAAAATATGTTTCAACTGAAGCATATTTTGCTTCAGTTGAAACCATAATCATTTGAAATCGGTGGATCGATGAATCTCTACTTTTTTCATTCTTGTTAATTCTAAATACTCTATTTTAAAAAGTAATCTCTGTGTTTAATAATAGTGTTTGGTTCAATTAATTTAATTAAGTCTCATCTTGACTCTGACGGCAAATAATGAAAAGGAAAAAACCTGGTGATCTCTGCTGACTTGCGTATTCTTCATGTTGAACTGAAGCAATTTCGTGTTAAGTCCATCTTGTTCTGTCATCAGGCATTTTTAAAGCCTAACGACAAATAAATAAAACATGACCAACTAACAGTGGAGGCAACAAAGAACAACTGAATATATTGCAGAGTCAAATATGAAATAAACACATCAAAATTGATGCTCGGGGTTGGCTCAGTGAAAAGATACGATGGCAGATAAAATTTAAGATTCACGACCACGTGCTGCTCTGGCCTGAGTAGAAACGGTAAATCAGGGATGAATATAAAGCCGAAGTGCCAGTTCATCTTCAAGACAAAAGAAATTTTGCCGACTTCACTTGAAATGCTTGACAGCATATGAGCCTTTCATCTTCTGCAAGTGTCTTCATGTTTCTTTTTTATATTTTTCTCACCCTGGTAGGCAGCTTAATTAGATCTGTTGAACCTTTCAACATGAGTAGAACAATTCAAAAAATGTAATTCTTAATTTCCAAAAATGACCTCCGATTTGTTCTAATGGATTGAAAATATATTTATTGACTTTACAAGCAATGACAACTTTTACAGCTGCCTTTTAATTAAATGATGTCGCAAACAAAATGCACCCAGAAGCTTCAAGATGTTTCATGCTGCTTTCAATGTTTTTATGCGTTTTTCTTTTTTTTTTTGTTTTTGGTGGGGGTTTGATGGAAACTGCCTACTTCAGTCAATCTGCTGTATTGACGCTGTGGAAAAACATTCATATGCTCAGCTGTCTGCTTAAAGTTTCCTGTGGTGGCTTCCCTGCTGAGTATAAACACACTCTGCTATTATAATTGTAGTCCAAAAAAATTTAATTAACTGGTAACAAAGTTAATTCAACAAACCAGATCATTATTTAGGATTATTTGTTAGGCGGTGACTGATGGATTTACAAAACTCTTCCTGTTTCCTTCGTCATTTAGGGAATCGAACAACCTTTTTTTAAAAAAGGGTCTCGATTCGTTTTGAATGTCAAAATGCTGGAAGAATCTGATTTACAAAACAGATTTAAGGGTAATAAAAAATATGGAGGTTTTTAGCACTGCAGTCATCAAGTATAGATTATCTAGTAAGTTTAGTTTTTAAAGCACCAATACTAAATGCTAGAACTTTTATTATAGTAATTATTGAAACCTGAAAATGTTTTATGTCTAAGAATTTAAAATGAATTTCTTTCTCGCTCCATCTTTTTTTTTTTTGTATTTTTGTCTTTTCCCCAGTGGTATGCCAGTCCGGACTACAACCTGTTTGGTCCGTACATTGATCACCGTAAAGCCCACCCCGACCAGCCCTTCTACATCCTTCACCCCAGCTACGTGTGGCGACTGTGGGATGTGATTCAGAGCAACACTCAGGAGAACATCCAGCCCAATCCCCCCTCCTCTGGGTTCATAGGTGACGAAACACACGTGCAGCGAAATATGGGAGCTACATATTTCACCATTCCTGCAGTCGCCTTTGTACTTTTTAGTTTCCAGCTGTTTAAGCTCTGAAACATTAATCTGATGGATAATTTCCTTTCTTTCTAGTGAATAATTTCTGTCATAAATTTATTTAGCAAAGCAATTTGGAGACATTTCTTAGATTAAGGTCCGATTTGGAGCCAGTCAAACATTAATTGACCAGTTTTTGCATGCAGTGTTTCCGCTTGCCAAGTTCAAGAGTCCAAAAATGATGCGTGAATTTTTGCCGCATATGGATTTTTATTTAAGCCAAATACATGAACAATAAAATCTTTCAGTGGAAAGCGCGTCCACAGGGACTCGTGTCACACTGTCAGAATACACAACTGGCTTCAGGTATCATTATCGCAGGAAAGCAACTCCATCTCTAACAAATTATAGTCGTTTTCTCATTTAGACCTTGTGAATGTTTCGCTGTGTTAGTCACAGCCAAGTAGATGCGCTAAAAGTGGTTGGGTCTTGTTTTTATTCATTTCTACTTGGGGAAAAAAAATGCAAAAAGGGTCAAGATTTTTCTGAGACGCTTATGTAGGAGGCGTGTACAACCTCCATAATCACTCTTAATGTGTTGCATCACAGCCTCAGATATTTTGAGCTCCCCCACAGATATCACATTTAGCTCCCCGTCTCATTGTCTCATTGCCACCGTGGGACACTGCAGCTTTCCTTCCTGCGACTTCTCGTTGGTAGAGTGGGTTTTATTTTAACACATCTTAATCTGGTACAGGTAGGCTTTAATGTAAAGACGTAGCATGAGGAGAGAAATAATGTGAAAGAAATGCAACATTTTATAGACGTTAGAACATTATGACAAGACAAATTTATTAGGTTTTGGCTACATACAAGATAAATGGTGGTGGAACATGTACTTTGTGATCCTTTGAAACATTTTGCTTTATTTACAGTCAAAGTGCTAAAAAACTCTGGAGAGGTTTTAGTCCCAAAATTTATGACTAAATTTTGAAGCAAGGCAGAAGTTTCTATTTGGCTGGCTTTTCCAAGGACAGAGTGAATAACTGAAGAATAAACTCAAGCTTTTCCTTTTCCAGTTTTTTTAACAGAAAAAAACCCCAAAACATTTAAAAGCAGATGCAGTGCTGCAATAATTCAGCCGTAGTGTCATGTGTATCAGAAAAGGAAATGCTATTCAGTCTGATTCCTTGATCTTACTTGCACTTCAGCAGATTTATTTAATGAACGTGTGAATAGATGATGATAGCGATTGGTTATGTCCCCCTTATTAAAATGTCATTAGGAGGATAATACTGATTAAAGTCAACACAACACTATTGGAGGAAAGCAAAGCAGCGTTTTGAGAAAATCCATGTAGGTGAATCTTTCTCGGTAACTTAATTGCTTTTTGTAACATTTTGAATTTGTGTCTTGAAAGGTGAAATATAGAGTATTTATCTTTTTTTTTGTATTATTTGCAACCAAAATCAATACAAATAAAATCTAATTTAGAAGGACATTTATTTGAAAATGAATTGGTCTTAAGATTATACACAAAAAATGAATCAGGTGGCCTACGTGGGTTTGACACAGTTTAAGATATGAAAAGCAGGCTGGAATGAAATGGTAACGCATTGATACAGAGTGGTGTACAAATTGACTTAAAGGGAACATCTGAGCAAACATGAAGTGGATTTCTGATTAATTTATACCTTAAAAAGTCCTTTAAATACTCAGAAATTGAGTGGCAGAGGAATCCAGAAGATGGCTTGAGGAAATAAAAAGAAATTCAAACAAGTACGCTTTGAAAAAGCCCAGTACACAGCAGCCATGTTATTTTTTTCACAGAAAAATAAAAGTGTTGCCAGAGATTATTATTCACCTATATCATCCGTCTTCCTTGGGTTCTGGCAACATTAGCTGTTGGTTGTTTTCTGTATTGGCAAGCAAATTGTCAGAACAGTATTGTATTGGTAGAAAATGTATGGCATTATTTTCTATTAACTTCATTATTTGATTTTCTTCCATGCCAAGGTTATGGCATGGAAGAAAATCAAAGTGGCAGCAGAAAGCCATGACCTCAATCAGTGCAACATGTTTAGGATGACACGTAAGGCTGACTTCGTGCGAGACGACATCGCCAAGCATCGCCTTGAGCGGAGAGGAAGCTAATCCTTGCATACAGCCTCTGAAATCCCGTGGAAAGTATTTTTGGAATCGTTGAAGCTGTCACGACTGCATATTAGTTCAGATGGGTCACTGGTGGGACTTTCATGCTTGGGTCATGAGGTTGAGAAGGGGAGGAGCGGTTGGTGTAAGACTAGTTGAGAGCATCTGTAGAGATCTGGGCCACTGTGTTGCTGTGGACTCTGCGGTTCAAGGGGATTACTGTCGTCTTGGAGGGCATCGAAGTGTTGCCTTTTTCTGACGACCAGTGAGTGCAGTGGAACAGGTCCAGGAAACACCTGTAGAACTGACGCACAAAAAAGACAAAGATACACAGTGAACAGATTTGTCCTCGTCTTTAAGAGACAAGGAGTCTCTTTGTCTGTGGATCGGGACTGTTTTTCTTTTATCTAATTCTGTGTTTGTACGGAGCATTCCTACAAAAATGTTGATCTTTTCAGTTTCCGAATTAAAATAGAGGGCATCACAGCAGGTAATAATAAAGAACAGAACGAACTTCTAATAGCTCAGTGGTTCAATTGTGAAAAATTGACATCACAGAGAAGATGTGCAATTACTTGAAGAGTAATTTACTGTAAATTGTGATTAATATCTCTTCAGTGTGTCGTCATGAAGATAAAAGTATTTTCTAGATATTCTGGAAAATATCTGAGAATATACAAGATCTGAGCTGTACAAGAAGAAACATGAAAACAAGCTATTTTATCCATTCATCTTCTATTCTAGCAGTGTCACCATTTGCCAGCATCAGAGAACATTTTCTGTTTCTATACACCAGCTTATCCATAAGGAGAGGTACACATTGGAATAAATAGTCGTTTATTTTGCACTTTATGCTATTGAAAAAACAGCACATTTTCACATTTCAACACATTTCTTAGTAAATATGTTTCTAATGGGGTTTTTGACTTGAAACTTCCACCAAATGTAACACAAATGATCCAAACACACAGAGAAATAAAAGCACAACAGTGACACAAATAAGTGCAAATATCAAGTTATTTGTAGTGGACACAAAGAAGTTGCAAAAGTTTATAGAAAGTAAGAAAATACTGAACTTATAGAAATAAACGTTTGACATGTTCAATATTTAAGCCCCGAAGGTTTTTAGCAGCGTGGGAAGAATAATTTAAAAAATGGGGCCGACTAAACATGTCCACAGTTTGACAATTTGCTGAAAATGTTCACACGGAGAGAGCAACAGTGGAGAAGATTTAGACATGTGGAGACATTTAGGGCTGCGAGCACAAAAACAATCGGGGACTGAATGATAAACCGAAATCAGCAGGAAAGAGCAAAGCAATGAAGAGTGACAAAACTACTAACATAGATTTATGCTGAATGCCATTTGTGCTCCCAGCATGTCACAGCAAGAAGCTCTCCTGCAGCACATGCTGTGTGAGCCGAACCCACTCTTCATACATTGTTTTCATCCGTGCTTTCTGTTGTTTCTGCCCTGGGGCCCGTTTTAGAACGTGGGCTTTGAGAAAATCCTGAGGAGGTTTCGGAGTAAGCATGTGCATATCCTGGGGGTTTCGGTTTCCGAAAACTAGGTGACGTTTATCCCGAGTCAACTTACTGCCGCAGCTTGCACCGTGAACCAACGCTGCTCTGTAGCAGAGTTGTTTGGACAAACTATGAGTCTGTATTACAGTTTTCCTGAGAAATGGCAAGGAGAGTGTCAGAAATTACAAATCACTTCAACAACTCAAACACGACGAGGTCCTCTTTAGCAAAGTGGTGCGAAATAGAAACATCAGCATTTAATTAAAAAAAAGTTTGTTTGCAAAAAATATGCACATGTAAGGTTGCAAGTATTTCAAGCATAAACACTGGCCTTTCTCCCTGTTTACATTGACATTGCAGGCATTCTCCTGATGATGGCGCTGTGTGAGCAGGTGCACGTGTACGAGTACATTCCCTCCATGAGGCAGTCTGACCTGTGCCACTACCACGAGCAATACTACGATGCTGCCTGTACACTGGGCGCCTATCACCCCCTCCTCTACGAGAAGATCCTGATCCAGCGCATCAATACGGGGCTCGAGAGCGACCTCCGGAGGAAGGGACGCGCAACTATTCCGGGATTCAGCGCCATCGACTGTGACATTTAAAATATAAAACCCACTGAGCCTGAAAGTAAAAAAATAAAAACAACTGCATACACTAGTCTTTGCTGGTTGACCAAGGGAGAGTTGCAATAAAGCCACAACAGACAAGAAGGCTGAGGCTTACTCGTTTCCAATTAGCCCCAGTAAGAGCATAAGCCATAGCCCCCCAGGGAGGGATCGGCTCCAAGGTTGTCTAAAGACCTTGCCTTCTTTAATAACAATTTACTTGAAGAGAGACTGAAGAGGTAAAACACAAAAACTCTGCTTTAGCTGAGCCACGTTAGCTGTGGAGCTGACTAGGGTAGCAACAAATCAGTGTTTTAGATAGAAAGTCAGTTTTTAATAACTTGGTGTGTATCAGTCATGTAAAAAAAAAAAAAAAATGAATAAAGAAAAAAAATGTTTTGCAGTTTTATGGGTGGTAATCCACTTGAAGGAAAAGCCACAGTTTATTACTTCAGATTTCTTTTTTAACAATCCAGAGTGGTTCGAGTGAAGAGAAGAGTCACTCTGAATTTCATAAAAGTGTCCGCATATTGCAGCAACAAAAAGAATGCACAGTTTTCAAAGACGGATGATCCGCATTACTGTACATATCTTCCAGCAGAATCAGAAGCCGCTTCGAGTCGTCACCAGGGCGTTAGTTTCTCACTACTGGTGTTATGATTGGTCTGAAATCACTGTTCTTTGCACGATGACTGACCGTCACCAGTTTGATCACAGTGGAGGTTGTTTTTTTTTTTTTTTTTTTTTTTACGATGCACTTGTTTTGTAAAAAATGAACGTAAATGGGGGCCAAAAAATAAAACGGGTGCTGAGTACAACCCCGTGCCTGATGGTCAGCTGAACACTTTCCTCGGGTTGCCTTGTCACTGTTTAGATAAATGCAGTACATTCTGCGGCAGTATTGCATTGCCATCCAGTTTGATTGTGATGCTGCGTGGAGCAGTGGATTTTCCTGCAGTCATATATTTCTCAGCTCTGCCTCAACAATCACCAGCCCCTCAGATTTTAATTTATCGTTCTCTGCTGTCATTTCACTCTTTATTGAATGTATTTTTACCACTGCCTGCTTTGACCAACCCTGTACTGGAGCTCACCTCTGCTGTACTGTCTGCATACATGCGTCGCAGGGATATTACTTTGGATAAAGTGCATTCCTTACAATTATACATGGTTCAGAGTTCCAATATCCACCACGGCTCAGAACAGAGACGGTTAAAAATCTGGGATTTTTGCCCAGCAGTGTCTCGGGATTTACTTTGCCTCCAAGTTTTGATTGCTTTATGTTTGCAGTGAGCCGGTGCCACATCCGGCAGTAGCTGTAGATGTTTAAAGTCAGCACGGGAATGGAGGTCAGAATATATTTGGCTTGAGGAAAGTGTTTTAATAAATGTGTGCAATCAGTAGTGGTTTCATCAAAGATTTGAAGACGTATGTGGAGAAAAGCGACTGCTGCAGTAGTGTAGAAAGGAAAAAGCTGCCACTGGGGTTTGACTTGGGTTGGGTATGTGTTTTTTATTTTTATTTTAAGTTATTCGATCTTTATTTTATGAAAGAAATTACTAAGTACTTTTAAAATCGAGTACCATTTTTCACTTTTGGTGTTTTATATACGGTGTGTTAATATAAATTTGTGATTTTGCAAATAGTATGAGAAACTCATGGTCAGCCACCACATTAAAACATCAGTCTTTTGTTGTGTAGATGCTTTTTTATGTGGGACTTCAACTATCCAAAATACTCATTGGTTGTTAGCCATTTGGACTTTGTAGGTTTTTCATCCGAGATGTTGTTTCAGAGAAGTATTTCTCTTCTTAATGAGGCTGCAGTTATGTTTCAGTTATTTGAAAATAGCTGTTTAGTTTTAAAAATGAGAAATGATAAAATAAAATAGAATTAGCATTTAGACTTGAATCAAATTTAATAAATAGAACATTTAAAACAGAGACCATGGTTTTTGCCTTTATTAGTGCTAGCATTGCAGCACAGGAAGATGCTGCTGGAAGTTGAAAAAGTTTTGCGGAGGAGAAAGAAAGCAAAGTTCTTTAGGGGCGTTGTGACAAGAAGGGGTCGAGGACATGAGACAGAAAAAACTGGAACAAGAAAACCAACTTTGGCAGGTTGGCCAGACCATGCAGAACACTTAAGTTGTCCATTATTACATGAATATGTAACATTAAATTCCCCTACTCCCTCTCTCTGCATTGTGGAAAGAAAAACTAATCCTGCCAAAAAAATTATTTTTTATGAAGTATCGTGTACAGTTCTTTTGGAAATAGTTGCCAAGTACAATTTCAGATCTGGAAAGAGATTTGAGACATTTTAAGGGAACTTCTGTCAAACTACCAGAATCATTTTTACAAGAATTTCACAGCAAGTAATAAAGCAACATACTTTTCCCCATCTGATTTCAATGTTGTGGTTGATCAGTGTGAAATAATGTGTAGTACACTACGCATAAGATGATGCATAATTCAGTGAATTACTTAGATGTTAGTTGAAAAAAAAAGCTTCATCACATTGATGCAAAATTGTGTAACCCTGAAAGCATTTCCCACAATGAGATATTGAAAAGGTTTTGATAAAATATGTTCAAGCTATTTCTAGAAAGTGGGCATGCCCAGAGGTCAGTGTGTGCCAAGGTTTTGAAAAGTTGGTTTTAATAATTTTATGCTATTTTAAAGAAATGCAAGCAGAGGTGCTGGGTTGACCGGCGCGTTCTCTCGCCAACTTGTAAAATTTTCCCTTTATCAGCACAAAAACCCATGCAGACATTTGAAGTTATTTCTACAGTTAAGAAGATACTAGCATGTCTACAAAGCAACAGACTGTAGTGTGTACCGCAGCAGATAGCCCAACTAATTAACCAGCAGTCATTAGTTGGCTGTTCTTGCAAAAATGGTGAAATTCTTCTGCACAACAATAAGTTGGACATAAATGTGGTGGGTATTCTTTGTGTAGTCAAAGTACTAAATTTAATATATAATGTTAGACTAATATTAAATATGTATTTTTACCAGCAGTAGAAAAAATGTTTTTCTATTTTTAAACCAAAGCAATTATGTCATGTTATATATTTTTATTTTTAATTGGCATGTTTTTTGGCATGTTTTTTGGATAGTTATTGTACCAAAAGAATGTAATGCAGGCCCATGCTTAGTAATAATTGTAGTCAATATTCTCCTCCCTCTTCCCGGTTCAGACTAGAAGCATTTGCAAGGCCTGTTGACACTTTTCTTCTTCAAAGTAAACATATACCCAACCCCAGTCTGTTTTAAGAACCCCAGTAATAAGGCTTGTAATAAGACTAATCAAAATGATGCTTTTGCAGGTTGCAGGTCTCGCTGCAGGGGTGTTAACATGGTTGTGATTGTAGCACAATGAACGTGCAAAAAGCCCTGAACATATTGTACATTTGTACTTTCTGTTGCACAGAGCATGCAAAAGTCAGGATTAGGGTCGAGTCTTGAACTGTGTGTGCTGTGTTGTGCTGAAGATCATTGTCATTAATGTTGTAGGAGTCAACTGTGCTTTAAGGTTTTTGTTGTTTTATTAAAGAACGTTTTTGCATCTTTCTTTTACTGCATGCTTGCGGACCACATAGCATTCAGCTGGTCCCTGATGCCTTCTGGCAACTTCATTCATCCAGTATTGTGCCAAATTCCACCTTAAATCATTTGTCAGACTTTTAAAGTGGAACAAAAACTCAGAATAAAGACACAACTTCTGGGAAATTAAGGTTTCTCTCTGTGACTTTTAAGGTCACAGAGAAGTCTCTGTGACCTTAATAGTTTTTTTTCCTGTCCACTTAAGTACTGATTTTTTTTTATTGCCAGTATTAAATACGAGGAGCTGTAAAAAATGTTGACATTAGCTGGTGGATAGATGTTGGAAGAGTACATTGTTTAGACACTGATGATAAAGTTCTTTCAACCCGATCTCCAGCCTTTTTTTCTCTTGAGGCCTACTTTTCATGTCTTGTTTTGATTTACTATGGTGGGAACTTGTGGACCACACTGTCTCTAAAGGATTTTTCAGTATTTAATTTTAGGTTATACTTTAGTGCGATAGGAGGTCCTGTTTCACTCCCAGCAGCCTTAGGGTGATCTTGATTTTTATTATTCAGTGAGTTTTCTTCTTCTTAAACTCGAATGATATTTAAATGGAGAATTTGTATGATTTGAGCTGTTATCTCCTTTTTTACTGTGTGAATAAAATTGTTGAAACATGCCAAAGTGTTAAGTGTCACTAATTCTAAAATTGAAATAACATACCGAAATTGTAAAATACAACAAAAAATATACTGTTGCTCACTTGTTTATTCATCAGGATGTAGATTAGAGGGTTGATGACGGTGCTGCTCTTGGCCAGCAGGGAGGGGACAACGCTGGCAACGGGACTGATGATGTTGGGTGGGCCGAATGTTGCCATCATGGCTACGACGCCGTACGGCATCCAGCACAACAGGTAGCACGCTGCTGTAGTCAGAACCATAAATAATATGTGGTACTCTCTCCTTCTGGCTGCCGTCTTCCGGACTTTCCCAACCTGTCGGACAACAGAGAAAGGGATCAAAGTTGCCTTAATGTAAAACATCAAAATGCAGAAATTAAACATTTTCAGGCTCCATTTAAGAGGAAAATAAGCAACAAAGACAAGCTGGGCAAAATAAGAAGCTTTAGATAAAGAAAACAGCGGAATGAATGCAAAATCGGATCCTGTAAAAAGATTTTTCCAATAGTCCTGCAAATAAGAAACACTCTCCTGAATGTAGAGACCTCAATATTTTAGTCCTCATAAATAAGAGAGTTCAGCTCAAGGTGAAAACTAAAGCACGGACACCAACAGCTTTTCAGCCTCAAACGCTCATTTCACAATGTTGAAAAAGCATTTAGCAAAATGTAAACTATGATCAATTTGTGATGTAGCCAGAGGTTGTATAAAAGGAGACTTCTAATGCTTCAGAGATGCAAAAGGGGGGGAAGCAATATCTCTGTAAGGGAAATACATCAATATAATCACAGCTTGACGCAATTTGATTTAAAACTAAAGATGAGAAATGCTCACCAACCCAAGGATATGTGTTTAGCTCCCTTTTAAGCCATGATTGCTCTGCCTCCATTAAATCTCATGGAACATCAAAAAATCCAAGAAAATTGTGTATTTTTGCAGAAACGGACAAAACCACTCTCCAATCTCTGTTTGCAGCTGCTATCTCCAGCTTTTTTAATTTTATGTAAATATCTTGTTATTCTTAATTAAATATGATAATTTAATTGCATGACATCTACTTTACATGAGGGATCATTACCAGTGATCCAAGTTGGGCTGTGAGTTTCTTCAGCTGAATGTTTGTCAATAATTAAAAGTTTAATTTTATTCAGACTGAAATAACCATTTTTTCATCTATCACTAAATGTCCAATATTTAAAATCTCAGTAAAGTAAAACGTGATTTCACTTGAAATAATATGGATAAAAAAATGTTGAAAAAATAAAAACATCCATTTTCAAAATGTACAAAATGCTTTTAAAAAATAAATATTCGTGGTTTGTGCAACAGCGCATTGTTTCCCAATTGCGCTGTTGTATTTATCTAATCAGAAATTAAACCTTCATAAATTACAGCTCAACCTCCATAACATTTAGTGCTTTTCAAACATCACAAGCAGCAGTTTTTCATTCCTGCCAACAAACTGGAATCTTTGCAGACATGCATCAAACGCTTCCACACAATCCACTGCTGACCTCAGTAAAAACTGACGTCAATCTAAAAGATGTTTCTTATGGTTTTTGTAAGTAAGTCTGCATTTTTCTGTTGTGCAATTATGTGAAGAAATAACTGCAAATAGCATAGAATGCAGTAGAACTGCAAAGTTTATGTATTCAGTGTCTTATAGTTATTTACCTCACTAAATACAGTAATGAGTAACTTCACTGTAGATTTTGTGTGACTGTGTGGATAGAGTATAGCACCGTCTCGAACATTTTCATGGTTTGGTCTCCATGATTTAATTATTTTGCATCAGAAAACAGAGTGAACAACCACTCTGTGAAAGCCATTTCACTGTCTTGATTCTAAACAATGGCGCCATGACTTTACATTTTGATGATGCCGACACTTTCTTTGACATAAATACTCGCTTTTGAGGAGTGTTGAGCATTGTCCATTGAGCAAGTGACACACTTGTGTTGAGAAAGGCACCAGCTGTTGTGCAAATGTTGGACTTGGTGTGAGGAATGCGCCAAAGTGTCTGAATGCCTCTGGAATAGTTTACACAAAAGGTTCTGCCATCGAAACATCAGATGAACATCTTTAAACACATTTTGGTTCTCTTTTAATCTCTGGACATCTTATTATGTCCAGAGATTAAATTGGTATGAGGACAAGCAAAGTGGGCAGATTTTTCCATCTCAGATCCTCGGACAATTCAGTCAGACAACCACAATTATGGTTTGACTTTTAAGAAACTAAAGTTTCTTAAAAGTGATTTTTCTTCACTTATTCAGTTCAAAAAGAGTAGGCACATTTCTTTAAGTTCAAGTTGAAGGGTTAAATGATAAAAGATTTTTAAAAATGTCCAATTCTATTTGTTTTAGACATATGTAGGTTCCTGTGGTCAAATTTAAACCTCACTGAGTGGGCAGGCAACATAAATACTCTCTGCATGACTCATTTGTCTTGATTTAAATCAGCGGGTCAATTTGACCCAAAACAGTATATGTGTCTCAAGTTCAATTATAAAGATCAGCCATTGAACAAAAAAATCAAAATGTAAAATAACATTTATTTTTTTTACAAATAATTTCAAAAAAATTATTGGGGTTTTTTTGTTTGTAGTTGTTTTTCAGTGGAAATAAAAAAATTTTAATTAAATTTTTTATGTCTAAAGGAGTAAATTTTCATCATTGACATTTGTGAGAAATAAAAACAACATCACTGCACAAATATTGATTGAAATGGTTAGCAGTGAAGCTAATAATCAGATACAAAAATGTTTTGGAGGAATTTTTTGCATGATTAAACAGTCGCTGGGACAAACTGACCCAGGAATATTATTGCTGTACCTTAGAAACAAACATAACAAGAGGCTTAATATAATGCATGATGTTCTGTTGCATTATGTTTTTGATAATTGATTTTAAAAAAATTATTGAAAAAAAAAAGCCCTGGGCTTTCTCACAAATTCATTTTAGATGGTTTAGAGCTTTTTCAAAAACCTCCAGGGATTCATTTCATCCTGAGCCAAAAGAAGGTGGGCGCCAATTGTGGCAAAGACTTTTCCTGTTGTATAATTTGATGCAACTTAGAGTAGCTGCATACTACTGTTTCAGAGGGAGCTGGAAATGTCGCCTCCCCTCCATGTTTTTTTAAAACAATCATGCCTGGGTGCAAAGCAATTATATCTTTCAGGCACACAGCCAATTTTGAGGGTCAGAAGTATCCTTTGTTGAATGTTATCCCAGAGATAGGAAGCATTACTGTTTCCCCCACTCACCTGGGAACATTGTGAGGCAATAAAGCTCCAAAATGAGAACAACAATACCTAACCTTAGAAGCTGTTTTATAATGATACAAAAGACAATTACTTTGTGAGTGTTTTTTTATTTATTTATTTTTTTATTGAAGCACAATGGAAACAGGCTGAATTGTTTCTAAAATATGATTAGTAATACCACCTATACAATTGAAGATGATTCATAAAACAAGATGATAAGAAGGTAATTAAATATGTATTAAATAGAATCAAAATATGCTAACATGAAGAAGGTTAGTGGACAAATATCATCATAATGAATACGTGCTAATATTTGTGAATGAAGGAGGATAGTGGCAAACTACACAGATGCAGAAAACAAAGATAATTGTGCTATGAGACCACAGGTGATTATCAATAAATTTGAAAATATCCTAAAGGTTAATTTTCTTCAGATATTCAGTTCAGAAAGAGTAGGTGTGTTTAATTATGTGCATTTTGATGACAATGGCTTGCAACTCATGAAAATCCAAAATTATGGTAATTGTTTAATATAACGCATGATGTTCTGTTGCATTATGTTTTTGATACTTAATAAAATAAAATAAAATTAAACTTAAGCTCAATGTAAAATGACGTTACATAAATGTTATGGGATGGACTACATATTAAGGTGGTAGAAAACTGATTCAAAAGTTGCAAATGCACATGTGTATCTCTAAGAAATCTGCTTTTCAACTAAAACTATTTAAAACGGTCCAATGAAGCCTGGCCAGAGAGGTAAAGGTCAGGTAGTCTGAGGACTCCCGGTTTCTTCCAACATGGTGGATGGATCAGGATAAGAACAAAGTCCAAACTGGTGTTGCATTGGCGAAGTTCAGCTAGGCCAGGTGTTCCAAAAGAAAAGTCAGGTGATTTCCTGGATATTTTCTGGTGAAAGTTTATCCCACAACAAACCATTTCCTTCCAACAGCTCAGACATATTTTAGTATGTCAGAATTAATTTGGCTCAAAATTAAAAGGACTCATCTCTGGTAGTATGAGTCTCACATAATTGTCCACTTAAGTTCAGACCCTCTTCTGGGCTTACGTGGAAAAGCATACATATGTCGTAAACAACAAACTATTAAGTAATTTAAGTCACAGTTTATGGTAGTAAGTTTTAGTTCCTTTAAAAGTAATGATACATTTTTTAAAAGAAAAGAGACTTTCAAGGTTATGAATACAGTGTGCTAAGCTAAATTTCAAGCAAGAATATGAGAAAAGTCACATTTTGTAAAGTAAGTATGATCTAGAAAAGTCTATTCATTGCAACATATGTGGACTAACTAATCATCAGCAACTAGAAATGACAAAGAATCAATTCCTCTGTTTGTTCTCAGTTCAGTTGAGTTTATTGAATTGTTTTCCAGTTAATTGCCAAATATTTTGCCAGGTGTAATTACATCTGTCTTATCCTGTTTCTTCACAAGTTTTTATTAAAAGAATAAAACAAGAATGAAGGGAGATGATTATGTTCACCCAGTCCAAGGTTAAAAATTACTTCATTAGGAAAGAAAGTTGTGGAACTGCACTAAAATGTTTCCCAAGATTTATATTTCCATGCAACTTTTCTTGTAAGTGAAATCATTTTTTTAAATTTTGAGAGTCATATAATGAGCTTTTAAGTGAAACTACAAAATTACTCTTGTAGAATACTGATATTTTATATTTCCTGGTTCATTAGATGAGAGAGCACTGTGATCAGGTAAAACCTGGTTTGCTCTAACAATTTTCAAATAACAAATGGCTAAAAATAGTTTCTACCTATTCATTCTGTTTATTAAAGAAGGGGAGAGGGTTTAGAAGGCGAGGGTCATGTAAAATTGTCTTTTGAGCTTTACATTGTGTTAGAAATCTTATTCTCTCATTAAAAACATATCTGGAGTCTTGCTTTGATTCTTTCATGCATGTTTGAGAAATCCTTGAAACTCCCATTGTTTTTTCAAGAACTATTGTGAAAAGCACAATGAATAAGTATTGTTGTGATCACACACTGAAGGCAGAGAGTCGAAAAGAGCAGGAGCTTCTT